AGAATCAGGCACTGGGGCACTCCGTCGATTCTGTTGAGAGCTCCGAGAAAGGGTGAGGATTCTTCAAGTAACAGTGAGGGGCTGTAGAGACTGGGAGGAGGGACTAAATCTGGGGACTACTTCAAAGCTTCCACCAGTAATCATTCCTTTAACTCAAACTGTAAAGGGACATCTTCTGTATGTGAAGATCTGAGAGTCAGATCCTGCTTCTAACCTTCTCTGGACCTTAGGGAAAACTGGTGTATAATCGTATAAATAAAATATATCTTAAGCATATGGATAACCACAGGAAGCAGGTTGGTAGATGACTTCATTTCTGCCATTGTCAGACTAGTAGTTGTTTAACTTTCCAATTTCAGTATTTGTAGTGTGCCTTTCCAGTGATAGATACCTTGTTTTGCCACTGAATGTATTAACAGCATCTTTGATCTGTCAATCATTATATTAAATTGAGCCAGTTACATTAAAGACAAAGTTATTTCACCATGACATTCCATATCCCTCAAGCAAAATTTAATAGGTCTTGAGTCTTATATGCACTCACAAAAAACACCCCATGAGCCACTTTTTAAGCTAAAGTTCACAAATATGGGAAATTTATGTGCAATTAAACTCCACACACACACCCAACTGTATCATTGGCCGTCCTGGACTGGGTTGCACAAAACCAGCAGGTCTATCACTCCTATGAGCTCTTAAGTATTTTGAGTAGTCCTGAGAATGAAGCTGCTCATATAAGTAAGTTTGTATAGTTCCCTGAAAGGTTTGTTTCTCAAAAAGAGTTAGTAGTCAGTGTTTTCATACACTGGATTCCATTTTAGCATGATAATTTCAGATAAAATCTGAAGTACTTTGCATTTTTCATCTAAGTTGCTTAGCTGTCTACACCAGGATTTGAAAGGTGGTCAGGTTTTTAGGAAGTGATACAAGATGAACCAAAGTAGTGGGAGACTTCAGGGCTGTAGTTAAATAAAGTAGATAACTTTATTTGTAATGCAAAACTTTGCTTGCATGAAGTAGAGTCTGCAAAAATTGAAGACTCTTTGGACATGGAAACTGTGTAGGTGTGGCTATGTATTGGAATTACAATACGAAGTCTCAAATGTATTCTGTAAATTTAAACCACCCTTCTTTCTCATTCACAGTGTGCACAACTATACCCCCAAGGTTGGAGAGATTGATACAAGGAGAGCCATTCGTCAAGCATTTGATGTTTGGCAGAGAGTGACACCACTTACCTTTGAAGAGGTCCCATACCATGAAATTAAAAATGACAGAAAGGAGGCAGATATTATGATATTTTTTGCTTCTGGTTTCCATGGAGACAGTTCTCCGTTTGATGGAGAAGGTGGATTCCTAGCTCATGCTTACTTTCCTGGACCAGGAATAGGAGGAGATACTCACTTTGATTCAGATGAGCCATGGACCCTGGGAAATTCTAATCATGATGGTAAGAGCACAGGTCATTTTTCAAAACAAGGATAAGTTGGTTGTTTGTTTGGGTTTTTTTTTTTTTTTGTTTGTTTGTTTGGTGTGTCCCGTTCCCCCCCAAGGAAGCTGGATGGGACAACTTTTTACAAGGGCCTGTGGTGACAGGACAAGGGGTAACGGATTTAAATTGAAAGCAGGGAGGTTTAGATTAGATATCAAGAAGAAGTTCTTCACGGAGAGGGTGGTGAAGCACTGGAACAGGTTGCCTGGAAAATCTGTGGATGCTCCATCCCTGGCTGTCTTCAAGGCCAGGCTGGATGAGGCTTTGAGCAACCTGGTCTAGTGCAAGGTGTCCCTGCCCATGGTAGGGGGGTTGGAACTGGATGATCTTTAAGGTCCCTTCCAACCCAAACCATCCTGTGATTCTATGAAGTTGAATACAGACATACTGACAGGCTTTCAACTAGGAAGTATTTGGTTAGTGGACCTTTTGCCTCTCATACAATGGTTTAAGTGTTTTCTAAAACATGTATTCTATCTTAAATGGGTAGATAATTTTGTCAGTAAGTTTGTGACTCTGCATGCCTCTGCAAATGTGTGAATGTTGAGAAGTGAACAGAAGTGCGTCTGCTGGTTTTTTACATCTCTCAAGATTTGGACCATGCTACAGGCACCATGGCTCTAGGAGGGAAAAGATGAACAAGAGTGTTGAAATATAAGCTCTGTATCTCATGAAATACTTAAGCAGGGCAATTAGAGTTAGTTGTAATGGTGAATAAAGTTGAGAGTTTGAAGATGACGTTCGAATGTGTAGTTGATTTGATCCATATTTGTTTTCCTACACTCAGGATGTGGTCATAATTCCTCCCATGAGAGGTCCCAGCTGGCTGGTATGTTAAGGACTGATGATGATTAGGACAACTGGTTTTGTGATATCAAGCAGTGAAGAGTTTCTGCATTTTTCTTGCTTTATCTTACTCTAGCACCAATGAGCACTTTCTGATCTATTTTCAAACCTTTGATTAAGGATAGTGCTGATTTGTAAGAAGTTTAAGTTGGAAAATCAGAATTTTAAAGTGAGCACATAAAATATCACTCCGTTTTCCATAGTCTTAGTGATTTGGGAAGGGCAACCTTTAGGGATTCAAAATCACATTTTTAAACATCTTATAAAGATTACTTGGAATGAAAATATGGCTTGATTTTTTTAACTGTATAAAAGCAGAGCATTATTGTGGCCATGGTGTCTAAGGACATACGAACAGATAATGTCTTTCATTAGACCAGTGTAGTTTGAAAAGGGGAAGAGGTTTCAGACATGCAAGCCACCTTCAGGCCTGACCTAAAAGTGACAGCTTTCATTCAGAATGGAATGCAAATTGAGACAATCCCTCAGCATTTTGAGTCTGTATCTATCAGATTATGTTTGAAAGCAAATAGAGCTGGCAAGTTGAATGTGGGAATGCTAATTTGTAGGAAAGCAGAAATGATATACTTCTCGGGGAAAGAGAAGTAATGTTTCCTGGCATGTTTAAATGACTAGATTAGATGTAGGCAGAGAAAGAGAGAGGTTATAGCCTGTGGGATGTGGAGGGGGGGATACTGTGGAGAGCGTGAGAGGTTGTGGTGTGGCAGAGAAGCACAGGTTCGCTATCTTGAAATGTTACGAATTTTTATTCCTAGGTTTGTGGTTGGAGGGCAGTTTATTGTTTTCCCTTAAAGATCAGGATTGGCGATCAGAGACTGAGTGATTACCTTGTAAGAGCTGCTTCTGCAGCAGATAGGTGTGTTTGTGCTTTGTCTATGGTATGTGCAAGTTCAGTCTGGTCTTAGAAGTTGTTTGATCTCAAGTGTGGGGTCTGAGGGTGACTTGTGTGCTGGATATAACTTCCCAGGAAAGCCCATGTATGAGACCTGGGAGTGCTGGTGTCTGGGATAGAAGTACCTTACAGGAAGGTGGAGGGGAAGGTTTTGACAAGTTGTACTTGTTTTTTTGTTTGTGTGTGGGTTTTTTGTTTGTTGGTTTTTGGGGGGGTTTTTTCCTCTTTTTCCACACAAAAAAAATTGTTTCTGATGGTAAGCTTAGCAAGGTTGGGAGGCAGCTCAAAGACTGGCAGGGGTGGCTCTGGGAAAAATTTTCTGCTAGATAGGATGTTCTAACATAGACTATAATTTCTTCTATTTTTTTTTAATAGTTTTTAGAATGGTGTTCGGGAGCAATATATACAATGAGGGTTTCTTTTTTTTAAAAAAGCTGTATTTTATGCAGTATTCATGTGGCTTTTTCAAAAACACGCTATATTTTTCTGGTGTGCTAAATGACTGTCATGAGTAGCGTTATCAAAGTGCATTAATTGGTATTTGAGGGGCTGGTATGCACTCAGAGTGTGAAAATGAATGATGTTTTGAACAAATCTTTCTATGAAAACAGCCATCTCCACTTTGTACGTGGAGAATGTGGTACATCCTGTTGATGAAAGCTGTCTGGTAAAGATATGTTGTGGTGGTCTGCTTGGGCTCATTAGCAATTTCATCACACCAGGTAGTGGATACTTAGTTGGGATTTATAATTTTGCATGATCATTACTATACTGGTTTTGCCCCTTGTGGACAGCATGACCATTACCATGTCCCTTAAAATTATTAGTGTAATCATAATGGCTGTGATGCTCTTGGTTGTCTTTCTGAGACGTGGTCTGAGAAGCACTTCAATTGTCTTCTGCTGTGAAGAATGATCCTGCATAGGCTTTCAAAGTGAATGCAGTTTCCTTCCCCTGGATATTAGTTACAGTTCCACTCATGCATAAAATTGCTTTAGCCAAGTAATACTGTACTTTCAATTCATGATTGGTGATTTATCTTCTTAATTTTACTGCCTTCTCTGACATCTCCATAAGCAAGCTGTGAAGAATTAGTTTTGTTAATATTATGATGAGGATGTGCAAAACCAGGTAGTAAGTTGAACTCCTGCAGCAATCCTTATTAACTGAGATCATGGGATATAGAATTCATCTGTAAGGTTTTCTGATGAGAATGTCCGTGGGAGCAGCTACAAGCATAGAGTCTTAGGTTGGAAAAGACCCGCAAGATCAAGTGCAACCATTAGCCTAACACTGCTAATACTACCACTAAACTTGTCCTTAGGCACCTCGTCCACACTGCTCTTAAATACCTCCAGGAATGGTGACTCTACATGACCACAGAATGAGAAGCAACTGGCATGACCTCATGTTTTTTCCTGGAAGGAGCTCCTCAATAGAAATGAAAACAGCTCTTGGCCTTTAGTTTATCCCAGACTTGCAGCAACAAGGTCTCTGGCTTATTGGACTTTGATGTGTGAGCTCTTTGCGGAGTCCTTGTCTTTTAGGGGTACATCGTGTGTAGCTGCTTGCAGGCCAAGTGGCCTCTCTTAGCTGCTTAGACACAGTGTTTGGTGACTGAGTTACATGCCAGTTCAGGCACTCCATGTCCCAGTTGTTTGCATTACCAGAAGGGACACGGAGGTGACTTTGCTGTACTTTCTCCAAGTCTTGGGCTTTTTTTTTTTCACTTGAAATGTGCTGTAGAAACAGCCAAGCAAACTTCAAACTGCCCATCTCAATACTCAAAACCGCTGAAATGTGTTGCTTACTGTAGGCAGCAAAGCCTGTGCCTGAAAGAGGGTGAACAGACTTGGCCGTGCTGGGATGTCTTCCCTTGGCTGCCTTAGTATCTTACTTAACTTGGCTCAAGCATAGAAGTGCTGCATGAAATCCATTATTAACTGCCCAAGTCAAGTATTTTTTAACCTTTTATATGAAACTAATAATTATATGTGTATCTCCAACATCAGGCTGAAAAAGAATCTTGAGTGGCTGAAAGTAAGTTCTGTCAGTTTAAATATCCATGTTACACAAGATTGCCCCTCTGACAATTCAAACATTTGTTTAATCTGGGTTAATTCCAGGAAGTAAATTTTAATCTCCAGTTCAACATTGCAGATAGATTCGCCTGGGATTATTACTGAGACTTCTTCATGGCCTTTTAAAAATAAAAGACCATTATTGTTATGCATGTTGTCAGCACTAAATTATGTGGTGTCTGCCAACCCCCTGCAGATAGATACTAGTTGTACAGCTGTATATAGCTATTAGCTGTATCACTCTGTTGGTAGGGACAATACTTGCTCTGTCACCATCACTGCAAGTTGCAGTGCCTGTGTCTTACTAGTGCTAACGGCACCCACCTCCACAGTAGCGACCCATGGCTGTAGCAAGCACTGATGATGCTGCAGGGCAGGTAACCAGAACTGTCACTGCTGGGGCTATCCCATCTGCAACTGTGACACCTGCTGTCCCTCTTCCTGTGCAATCCAGATGTCATTCCAAAGTTTATGTATACCAGGCACTGGAAATGCAGTGAAGCAGAAGTAGAAGGCTTAAAGTGGAGCAGGATTGATTTAGGGAAGACATTTAGAGAAGCTTTGTAATGCTAAAGAAAGGTGAGTACTGAGGTATCCATGCCCTGCCAGGGATCACCAGAATTCTTTTCTTTCCATGCCCAGAGTTGATCTCGAAGACCCTCCCTATCATCTGCTTGTTGCGTGGCAGTGTAAGTGGGTTCAGGTGGAGAAGCAAGTCTTATTGAAATCTTCAACAGCAGTAGGTTGATGTATCTTACTTTCATCTTGGAGGAGGCTGCAACAAAAAGTTAAAATAGACTGGTCTCAGTGGGGTTTTCATACAGGTTACCTCACTAGAAAGAACAAAAAATCCACCATGCGCTAGTTCTGCATTTTGCCTGGGAAGCTACTGATAGAAGTGGTACGAGAGGGCCACAAGGGTAAGCTAGGGTCATATGTACAGTTCCAGTGTGGGGTTAATCCACCATGACAGGTTATCCTGGCTCTAGTGCTATTGGATATTTCCTTTCATCAGCAGGAGCATCAAACTTAGCTTTTGCAAAGAATGCTGGGCTTAGAGGGCTCCCCATGGGCCCATGCTGACTAATCAGTTTTTGATGCAGCCATTCTCCCACCCC